ATTTAATTAAATTCATATTTATTTAATGTACTAATTTGCTTCATCTTTTTATGTCAAAATATTCCGGTTATAGTATTTTTAACATGATTTTTATTATTGTTAACGCAGAAGAAAGTTGCAAAAATTGTTTTTTATTAATAAAAAAAGCAAATAAACTCTCAAACAAACCTTAAATTCATAAAGAGCCGCACTGACGTCTTCTTCGCGCTCAAATACTCAATTTACTGATACTTTCTTCGGCCGCTTATGGCGGAAATCACTTACGGACCGTAAACGGAGAAGAACTCGATGGTAATACGAGTTCGTACTAATAATAGGTTTATCGTAAGTCTAAAAGTAGCTTATACACTAATAATTATCATCGTGTGGCTAAAAATAATAGATATTAATGAACACATATCAACTCTCAATCTCGGGATTTCCCGCAAATCGTAAAGAGAAATAGAGTTCGTAGAATTCTCTCGTTATCAGGACGTGTCGCGTGCAATTTTGTTGTCCGTCACGAGACACGCGACGTGTCTCTTCAAGTATATAAGATATAAATTTGTACGTGATCAATTAATTTTTTATATTTCTCTCTTGAAATGACAGATAAGCTCTTTATCTAAATCAGAAACAAACTTTGATTAAGAATTATAAGATATGATCGACTTTAATGTCATTAATATTATCTTCTTAATATTCTGTGAAAAACTAATTCGAAAAATAATAACTATGAGTGCATTTTAATACACTAATAGATTTTATTTTACTTTTGGCACTTATAGTTTCCTCAAAATATTATTAGATACTTTTTTAATGATTTGAAGAAAGGTAATAGAATTGTATTTTTTCACAATTGCGTACTGAACAATACTTCAGAGCAATAAGTTTTTATTGCGTCGTGCTATTTTCATTATTTCAGAATCATTTTTTAGCTTTGCGTGCCTATCGAATATTTTCACAAAGAATCTTTAGTCCTTTGTCGATCGTAACACGTAACATTTCGCCGATCGCGATCGTTCGATGACGTCGCGACGTGGATCGTGGGAGAAGCGTGCGAGAAACGCCGGCGGAGTCGATGCTCCGAGCGGTCTAAATGTAACCTTAAAACTTACAGTCCCGACGGCCAGAGGAATGTATAATTACGGGGCATAAAAGTAACTATCGCCTACTCAGAGGCACTCAACAGGAATAGGGTTCGCGCGCGCGCGCACATGGTGTTTTTCGGGGGTCGTTGCACCTACGACTCGCAAATTCCCATCGATCTCTCGTTCGGAACGAGAGATGTTCGGCAATTTTTTTCTTCAAACGGCGATTACGTGAAGAGTACGCCCGATCTGATCCTCCCGCCGTAAAATCGTAAGTATACGCCGTGCGGCAATCGAGTGGACATTGCGAAAAAGTCGGGGAAACGCACTGGCTGTTGTGCCGTTTCGAGGATTCCGGCGTGACTCGGGGATGGAGAAAACCTTGCGAATCGTTTCCGAAAGCGGTAATCTTTGAAATGATTTTCGTCACGGCGTGACGCTCGCGGGCGTTCTTTGCACCTTTTTCAGACGCGCTTAACGGGTTTTCTTGAACGTTGCAGCAAAGCTCGTTCCTGCTGGCGAGTGTACAAATTGCTTGCTGAATTTATTTGTTTATTTCAACACATATAATTCGCAAATAATTTATTAAAAAATACTGTCAGACAATTCGAGATTTGCGCGGATTACAATCAGCGTTTTCGCAACTTTTTAACGTCGCATAAGCTAATTTTCGGAGCCGGAAATGTGACACTGGCTATAGATATTCGTCGTTCACCGGCACTAGAACAATTTGCGTTAGCAACGCGATCAGATTAGATGCGGCATGCACGAAACACCATCTGTCATATCGGATTGTTAACTCAGTTATGGCTCACGCATATCAAATCGTTCAGGGCGCAGCTTAGCCCGGGCAGCACGATAATGCGATTTGGATATATAGAGAGTCCTGTGGGATATTAGCGGCATGAAGTCTTTTCCCCGGTGATACGATAAATGATATGCATATGTAAATATCGTGACCACGCATTGCGCACCGCCCTAACATGCAGAATAAACGTCTCACTAAAAAGCTATCGTGGAATCGAGTATCTACTCTTTGTCTAAAAAATTATTTACGTTGTATGAAATATAGATATAACGCACCGCTCTTTTAGAATAAATTGCGCACACCAATTATACCGATAACAATAATTACGATTTTATTACAGTTAAATAATTCTCAATACACATTTTATTGCAGAATGCAATAAAATTGTAAGCGGCAAATTCGATTTGCACTTGTTTAGTCGAACCGTCGAAATGATATCCGGCAACGCGACAAGAAATCCAAATGCGTCTAATTTTCTCTCACGGTCCCATCAACGATGCCAGGATGATCCCGTTAACAGGATCAAGACACGCGCTAGACGAAGGGTTCTTGTTATTCGCAATCGCCTTCGCGCCCGATCCTTGGGGACTACAGATCCCCCGTATTTATTCCCCGCTACGCTATGAGAATTGCATCCTAAATAGTAGGATGTTCATTTGTGGCCACAGAAATAAAAGGAATTATTTGCTTCCGTTTTCGCGTAGTTTCGCAGAGAATAGCTTGTGCAATCACATTTTAGATCATATACACAGTTTTTAAAACAAATTTAGAACACGTTCGGTTTGATTTGTGATCTCGTTACGAAATCATTGATTTTATTGTAATCAAAGTAATGTGTGAGCACATAATTGCAAACTAAATATTTGAGGACAATTGAAAACTAAAATTTAATTTATATAAATTGAGAAAAGATTCTCGACGATGTTTTGTGACAGTTATACGAAGTTATAATTATACAGGATATACGATGAACTCAAATTGTCAAAGCTATTTCGCAATTCGCTCGTTCTTCTACATAGGCATCACGCTGAAGAGACTTTTACCTCTTCATCTCAAGCGCGCCTCTATCGTCAGACTAATGATTTGCAAACAGTGTCTTTCAGCTCGTTCCTCTTGTTACAAAGTTTTCATGTCATACATGAACAAGGCAGACATCTTGAGTATTCTGTGAGAAGACAAAAGTAAAGAAATCTTTAGCTACTACAGCCTGTATAAGCTTCGTTTATATTATTGTTCAAATTTGTATGCTTAAATGCTTTTTTAAATATTTCATTGCGAAAGTTATGGGAAATATAAAAACTGCTGTCTAGTACATGTTGTAAAACTTAAAATACATTGTATTTAAATTGAATATATACGCTCATTTAAATTCTATATTTACTATTTTTTTGTCAAAAATTTTTTTACTTTTATTTTATTTATTTTCATGAATATATCGTAAAATTTTTATTTTATAAAAAATATTTGTATTTTTACGATATATACAATTTGTATAATAAAAAAAACTAAATCAGAAAAGTTTACTTCTGCAGAAAGTATTATACTTTCGCACAGATTTGAATTTTTCAATAAAAAAACAGCCGATGTAATTTATACGGAACTAAGATACATTTTTCATTGTATTTCAAAACAACAAAAATAATTCATTCTCTACACTATTACAATATTGAATTTTTTTTAATATTATTTTAATTTCTATAAAAAACATTACGTATTACAATTTAAAATCTACAAAAGTAAATAATTACGCAATACTATAATTTTAATGAATTATGTTATTCTTTTTATCTTTGTTATATAACATTGTATAGTTGCACTACGATGGTGCCATCTCTTGGGAAGCTAAAATATTCTTTGTGCTACCATAAAGGATACGGTAACATGTTCAAAGGGAATATACCATAGAAAGGTTAAAAGTGGAAGAGAATTCCATCACTTTCCTTGTAAGTGAAGTTTGAATCTCCACTAAGGTTCGAGTCTCCGTATTATTCGGCTTATCAAATTCATAGATTTTATGGTTATACATGTTTAAAATACATATTAGGTATAATTTACATTTTATTCACACATAGGTCACGTCAGAGCTGGGTCAAATACATCATTAAGTATTTGAAATACAAAATATAAAATACTATCAATCTTCTATCAAATACAAAATATAAAATACTATCAATCTTTTATCAAAATACTAAAATTGACAGTATTTTGTATTTTGTATTTCAAATACTTTTTGCCCAGCCCTGGGTCACGTATAATTTATTCTAACTCTGCTTTCCAGATAACACGCAAGTTTTAAAGACATCTGGAAGACGTCCAAAAGATTTTTTTTCTAATATTTTTTGGACACCTTTCAGATGTCTAAGACTTGCGTATTGTCAGGATTGTCATTCATTTTGACAGCCGAAACAATCTCAGGACATGAAATGTTAACTAAATAGATTATCATTGTAAACGTAGATAGTGTCAATCTCATCCATGATTCTTTAAATTAGATTAAATCTTCTAGATAAAATATTGGAAAAACCGTCTGGTGATGGCTTTAGATAAAAAAATAACAAAGATATTTCAATCACGATGTTTGATAAATGATATAAGACTGTATTTGATGACATATTATTGTGTGATATAGAATGTTCAAGTGTTGAGATAAATAAATGCATAAATAATTAATCAATCTTGATAATTATGCACTAAATTACCATCAAAAACATATGGCGTTTTATAAACATTGACACAACATTCATTACGTTACACACGATTCACAATTATATCGAATTTTTACATAAAAAAAAGTTATGTATAGAAATCATATAGATTAAAAATAAAAATTACATTTAATTTCTAATAATTAAAAATTGCGCATATCTTTATATTAATTATTATAAAGAAATAAAAAATACATAAAATAAAATTTAAAAAGTAATTAGCTTGTTATAACAATATGTATTAAATTGTCATAAAACAAAGACAAGATACTTAGAGAGATAAGTAAACTGATAAAATTCTTTACACTTGAAATACGAATACGTATATATTTCCAATCATATTTGAAATCAAGATGCTTCGTTTGTAATTGGGTTGCATAAGTCTGAAAATAAAAATATCTCCTAGTTTTAACATTCCTTTATTTCGTGGATTGATCATACTATAGATAAAGGGATTATAAAATGCTGCTGATGAAGACACAGTTATTCATTGTGTTCAGCATATACCGAGAATCGAGCATGTATACGACAATTACGTTTCTTAATTTCTTTGTTATTACGTTGATATCGATTATTCATGGTAAGTAAGTCATTTTTGTCACACTTTAAAAAAATTTTACTAATGACAAGTTAAATATTAGTTGAATTAATAAAAATATATAATTGATTAAAGAATAATTTTTTTCATCTACTATATCTGTATTTTGTAATTTTCAAAAATTTGATTGATTCAATGATATTCAGTAGTTTTGGAGCATTTTGTATTATATTTTATTATATAAAATTCTAATTCGGGTTCAATTCCCGGCTTAGCCACTCGCGCCCTGATATTTTTTCTCTATTCCCTTCTTTCTAATAATTCCTATCAGTACATACTGATTCTCCATATGTGAGAACAATGTACTAAAATTTTCGTACACTTTAAGTATCTCGAACCAGAGATCGGTGTACAAATTTAACTGTCTCACGTAGACTAACAAATTAATTTCTTTAAGAAAAATTATAATTTTGCACTAACATCCCGCGACGGCTCTCTATGCCTTTCTATTATATTAATTGATTGTTATCATTTGAGCCATTCCTTTATATGTGTTAAATAAAATTCTAACTTAAACAAAATACTTTCTAACTGATTAAATTTTGCAACTATGTTACGCCAAATTATAACGTAATGTTTACATAAATTAAAGCATGTGAAGTTTTTGATAACAAGGTTTGCCAGTGGATACTCACGAGTATATCATCGGCGGTACTGATGCTCCGATCGGCAAGTATCCACATCACGTAGCCTTGAAATATCAGGGTGGGTTTGTCTGTGGAGGATCGATTATTAGCAAACGATATGTACTTACTGCAGCTCATTGCATTAAGAGGTAAACATTTCAATTTTTATGTTGACAATACAAAAGATTGCTATTATTGATTGGTTAATGGAAAATTCTGTTGTTTTATTTGCGCAAAAGTTTTATGCTGACTCTAACACACATAATGTAGTATCATATAATAATCTTCATTCTACGTTAATCACTTTCAATTTTCAATGCCATTTATGTCTTCGAAATTAGTATACGCTGTTAAAGGGTTGTAAATATTTTTATTTCCTTTGATATAATGATTTCAAGAATTTGTGAGTGGCATCGAGAGTTGAAGGATTAGAATTATCGTGGATTCTAATAAGAAAAATAATTTTTTAAAAGTGTTCCCGATCCCAAGAAAATTGAAGTCCACGCTGGTACAGTTTATTTAAACGAGACAGGTGACATCTATCACACAGAAAATGTGGTATGGCATTCCGCTTATGACAGCAGGATTCTTAATGACGACATCGGTCTCATTCGATTAAATCAGGATATTGTGTGGAGTGATGTCGTAAAACCCATTACGCTTGCACGGGAAGATTTCGCTGTCGAAAATTTCCCCTGTGTTCTGTCCGGTTGGGGCATAATTCAGGTATGGAAAATCAGTGTTAACTAAACTGCATTAAGAGTGATGCATGTGAATAAAATATGTTATCAAATAATTATTAATTATCAGAGAAAAAAAATCAATTAATGTTTTTTTTTTCTTTAGAATATATGTAATACTCTGTTCAAGTTAATTTATTGATCAATTTTTGAATAATATAATATATGTATTTTATTATATGTGGACATCAACATTTTGCACTTTCCAGCTTGAAGGGCCTACGCCTAATAGACTGCAAGAGATTGCTTTAAAAGTTTTCTCTCCCGTAAAATGTAAACTTTCGTCTTCGCTAGTAACCGATAATCATATATGCACTTTGACAAAAAAAGGCGAAGGAGTATGCTTTGTAAGTGCTTCGATATTATTGTTAAAAACATTTATAGTTTAAGATTATTGAAATTGGGAGAAAAATTAATTATAAATTTATTTAAAATAATTAATTTACTTATTTAATGATTGTTTACAATGTCGCAGGGTGATTCAGGCAGTGCTCTCGTTGCTAACGGTATTCAAATTGGAATTGTATCTTTCGTTACTCCATGTGCTTTAGGAGTTCCTGATAAATTTATTAAAGTATCTGCATATCAAGATTGGATCAAGAAACATGGTGGTTCTTAATAACTCAAGTCAAAAAAATAAAATACTCTATGCTCTATTGCAAATAAATATCAACGTATAATGTAAAATGTATGTTATATATATTGATAAACATGTATTTTTATTTCTTATATGTATTTTATTTTATGTATTATATTTCCTTGTTCTTTAGCTAATTGAATAAAAATTTTGCAGTATGATTTTTAGATTATACCGAATCTATCATACATACGTACTTGAGATAAGAATTTCACGAAATTTTTGAATACAATACACAGATATAAAATTCGGCTTAATCGCTTGTTATTATTATAGTTATCGAAGTAATTAATGGTTTAATGATTAGATGTACGGAAAGATCCATTTTTATCTATTGTACATGTATACATCCCCAAATTTATTCCTTTGTAGTGGGCTACTTATACGGCGTATATATACCGAAAGAAAGTTTCATTATTGTCAGTACGAACGTTTCACGATGCACGCGTTCTTTGCTCTTGTAGTCGCCTGCTTAGCAGTAGCCGTTCACGGTAAGTGAAAATCAATATTATTAATTTCAAATAACATCACGCGAAGATTTTGTTTAATTTTTTTGCGCTATAAATTACAAATGGCAAAAAATAAAGATGGTATAAGCTCGTTAACAGAATTTCTAATACAACAATTATATAATAACAATAAATGTGTGACAAAGATCCACATTTGCTATTATTTATTAAAAGCTTATTAAAAGCTTTTTATTCCAAAAGCCATTGTAGCACATACAAACATACCAATCTAATTTTATATATTTTGTTTTATTTTATGCATGTAATGCATAAATGTTTATGCTTATACAGGCTTTCCAAATTCTCACATTGTTGGTGGAAAGGATGCCCCGGTCGGCAAATATCCGCATCAAGTATCTTTGAGAAGATACGGATCTCACTCCTGCGGTGGATCCATCATTAATAAGCGCACTGTTCTCACCGCCGCTCATTGTGTCGTAAAGTACTCATCTTGTCCTTATCACATTCTTTGAAAGAAAAATATTAAAAATAATTAATTTAATATCTGAAAGATATGAAAAATAATCAACAGCTAAAATATGTTTATTTGACAGCTATGTCGGCTCCCCGAGCGAATTGCAATCACTAACTATCCACGCCGGAACTAATCTATTAAGCGAAACCGGTGTCGTTTACAAAGCAGAGCAAGCCATCGTGCATGAGGATTTCGATTCTTCCGCATTAGTTAATGACGTCGGTTTACTTATTCTGTCAAATCTCGTTGAATACACCAGCTTGATCAAGCCCATACCACTCGCAACTACTGACGTCGCTCCTCCCGGTCATTCCTGCAGTTTGTCTGGATGGGGAAGAACCTCGGTAAGCGACAAATTGAACAAAGATTATTTAGTCCAATAGAAACGATTTCGGCTTTACTTAATTATTTATCGAACTAAATTTATTAAGAATTTTAGAAATAGAAAAATTTCTACTTTAGACGACTCGTTACTTTCTTTAAGGTGACATTTGCAGTAAAAAATTCTTACCTTATAATTAAATACTTTTTAGACCGAGTGAATTTATTGCGTAACTTATTATTGATTTTTAGTTAGGTGGTTTGGTTCCTGACAATTTACAAGAAATCGAGTTGAACGTTTACGACCAAGAAAAATGCAAACAATCACATTGGAGGGTGCAATCTTCTCACATTTGCACACTCACTAAAGCAGGCGAAGGCGCGTGCCATGTAAGTATTAGTTTCATTATTCATTATCTAAATCTATCTATCTATGTTTTTGTTGCACAGGAAACATACAATAGATAAAAAACATATGTACTCTTATTTTTTTTATCCATCATAAATCTATTCATTTATTGAATTAAATAAATCAAAAGACATTACGAAAACATGTAATTTAAAACTGAAATAAGCAATGTCATGTTTTCAGGTTATTATGACATTAATTGTATATGATGAGTGAATTAATTTTGATGAAGTATATGATTTTGATTTGTTAGTAAGTAGTTAACCGTTGTTTTTACTATATTTTTAGGGTGATTCTGGCAGTGCTCTTCTTGCTGAGGGTGTTCAGATCGGTATTGTCTCTTTTGGTGAACCATGTGCACGTGGGGCTCCCGATGTATTCACTAGGGTGGCCGCTTTCCAGGATTGGCTTAAAAAACACGTTGCTGACGCATAAAACAACAAAACGAAATGTTACATGCACATTTTGTTATTATTTTCAAGCAATAAATATATCACAAAATTGATAATATAACTAATAATTGTATGTAATTATGAAAACATTTCTGGCCCATGCATGTTTTTGTTTAATTAAAAAATTATTTGTTATTCATGGACAAAATTTTATTTTTTATGCATTATCCATTATTTTTAAGGTTGCTGAACTCATTACGCTTTTAACGTCGTTTATGTTATAAGGTTGAGATACAGTGCTATTGTTAGAGATACGTTATCAATCAATTGACATTATCATAGAATGTATTGTAGATACAATAAGTGATAAATACATTTTTGAGAATAAGTTCTCTATCAGATAAATAAATAATTTTTAATTTTCTTAATAAAAATCACGATAATGAAAGAATAGGAAGTTTAATTAAAATTATCACTGAATTATTGATCTACATTACGCAAGTAACGCGAAATAACGATAATGAATGAACATTTCATCATTGTCAGATATCGTCGATTATCGCATTGTGCAAAATTAAAAAGTGCGATAAATATGTGATTTATATATGTATATCTTTATCGCAAGTATCTCAGAAACATATATAAACCTATGAACGCATCTTTGCATCAGTTAGTGTGAACAAATCTGCAGTCAATCATGTATGCATACGTTTGTCTTATCTTTATTGCACTAGCATGTGCCACTCAAGGTATATAAGTTTACAAATCATATAAATATTTGACATAAGAAGGAAGAGAGAGAGAGAGAGAGAGCGCGCGCGCGTGTGTGTGTGTGTGAGAAAACAACATAGATATCTTATCCAAAAAGTGGTGTTTTCTAATGTATACATATTATTTATTTATAATTATTAAGATTATATGTGTACAGTGCTATAGAGTGATCATATTAATATTAATATAATTAATTTGTTTTTGGCATTAAGGAGCTCCGTCTCCTAATATCGTCGGTGGCAGAGATGCTCCTAATGGCAAATACCCGTATCAAATATCGCTGAGATATTTCGGCTCACACTCATGCGGTGGATCCATTCTTAATGCTCGTAACGTATTAACCGCAGCACATTGTGTCGTAGGGTATGTTAAATTTTATTTCAATAATTTTAACGAATTACCATTGGAATTTTATTTTTAATCGATTTAACATGGCATACGAGCATCAAAGCAGTTTTGTTTTTAATAGATGATTGCGCATCATATGTTATGAGTGATAAAACAAAACTTTTTTACGATTCTTTTTTTTTTTAAATTTTTTTTATACGTTTCGCGACCTGTAAAAAAATTATAAATAGAAATAGAAAAAATATTTTACTGGATTTTCAGTTTCATAATTATTATGTTAATTAATTAATTATCTATGATATTAATATATGTATTGTATTATTTTTTTATACTAAGTTTTGTAGTTATGCAATTTTAGATATGCACTATTTTGATCCTAATAATTTAATGTTAACAATAGTTTTATGAAATTTCTCTAATTAAAATATTTTAATATTAATCGAACACAATATAATTATAATTGTAACAAACATTTATATTTTCTTGAATTATCAGAAGAGAAAGTACGTTGCAATATCTGACGGTCCACGCCGGCACAAACCGCCAAAATGAAACAGGAGATGTTTATCAAGTAGTGAATGTTACAGTCCACAAAGATTACAGTTCTAGTCGGTTTATTAATGACATTGCCCTAGTTCACCTTAAAACATCTATCAAATATAATAAAAAAGTGCAACCAATAAAACTTGCGACGATTGATAAAGATCTTGAAAACAAACCTTGCACATTATCAGGCTGGGGAAGTACTAGGGTAATACTGAATTTATAACACATTATTGTGCATATAAAAAAATTTCTCTTGTATATAAGGAATTGAAAAAGAACAGTTGGCTGAATTTTTGTCAAACGACAATGTATTTATCTTCTTTTTTTAGCTTGGTGGCAACGTTCCGAACAATTTACAAGAAATTGACTTGTTAGTTTGTCCCTTAGCTAAGTGCAAAGCCATGCACACAACGCAAGTGATCGATAGCAATATTTGCACTTTAACAAAAGCAGGACAAGGAGCGTGCCATGTAAGTGACAAAAATTGCAGTATTTATTATAATTTAAAAAATTAATATTCAAAATATCGAAGATTGCAATATTATAAATGTCTAATTATATGTTTAAATTGAAACTATCTCAATGATGAAATGAATATAAACATACTTTACACTAATATGTAAATAATTTATCATTCTCATAGTATTGATTTCTTATTATCGTTAATTTTATTGCTGTTCAGGGTGATTCTGGTGGACCTTTAGTATCAAACCAAACTCAAATTGGAATTGTTTCCTGGGGTAGGCCATGCGCAGTTGGATATCCAGACGTATACACAAGAGTTACTAGTTTTGTGCCATGGATCAATACAAATTTGAAATAATAAATTATTTTATTTATTCATTAAATACGGCGCTGCTTACATGCGCGCTAATTACATGCTACTTTTAATTTAATCAGAGCATAGCTCATTAAAATAATTTTTTTTAAATGTATTAGGCATTTTTATTTATTTAATAAACTATCAATGGAAATAACATTAATAGAGTAATTAATTTATTTATTTTTTGCGATATCTTAATATTTTTCAACGATTTAATTTAATTTAACCAACCATATCTTGGTTAAAAAAAGTCGTAGAAAAATGAAAAAACGCATTTTGTGTGTGTGCCGATAAAATATTGTAGTTTTTGGCAAATGTTATAAATTTCTGGAAAAACATTTTTTTATTGAGCTGCAGTATTGAAAGTACGTAATTTTAAGAACAAAACAATGTATTCTTTTCTCGAGTTTAAGATTGTAAAAATAAAAAATGTTTAAAAAGACTGAAAGCACATGAAAGTACAAATTTCAAAATTTTAATTGCTTTTTTAATATTTTATCTACTATGATATTTCACCAAGTTACAGTAGTTTGAAAGTTGCTAACTTTTAAGTGCCTAAACATCTCGATACAGAAGAGCAGCGCGAAATGCTTGAGAGCGTCTTTAATGCACGTTATGCAGTTGGCGACGCCATTAATACGCGCGAATGCTTATTGTCAATGTCAGCCATTCGGCCGCACTGCTCTGCCGCGTCGAAACATTCAAGCGCTTAAAATTAAAATATTGTCAAACCGCTGTAACTTGGCAAAAAATTATCATAGATAAAAAATTTAAAAAACATTTGAAAGTTTAAAGTTTGTACTTTTATGAGGGTTTAGTCGTTTTCTAAAAATTTTTCATTTTTCCGGTTCTGAGCTCGAAAGAACATACTATTTTGTTCAAATTATGTACTTTTATCACCCTGCAGCTTGATAAGAATTTTTGTCGCAAAATTTATGAGAAGTGTCAAAAACTACATTTCACTTACAATAACGTTTTTTTAAATTTTTCGAGTCTGCTCGCGATCTATAAATTTCCGCAAATTATGGCGAATGATTAATCGAACATTACGAACCATTGTATAATTTACTTGAGAAATATTCGTATACAATACAATATATGTTTCAGTCATTTGCATTCTTCGAGTTTCTGTTATTCATACGTGATACGGATTGTCAAATTGTCACACAGAAAGAACACTTTTGCTGAAAGATCTAAAATTTCTGCCAATAAATAATGCTTAATAATAAAAATTCAAAGTATGCATATAATAATTTAAAGTATGCATATTTTATTGCAGGATTCTGAATATAAGCATAAATGTGGACTAAAAATTAACAGGAAATTTATACACAAAAAATTAACGAATATTATTCGATTGAGCGGCGCTTTTAATGTGACGTTATCAGATTCCTGTATGGTATTCAATCCATGTTCTATAGTGAAATATTTTGGTAGAAACGTCTGGAAAGTTAGCACCACATCTCGAGTAGGATACAATACCAACTAGGATGCCGTCAGCGACGACTGGATTACCGCGTTCACTCTGTCGAATCAGTTTATTTAACATATATGTTTGCTCAAAAGTTTTTTTATCTCGATATACACTACTAATTTTTTCGGACTTACTAATCTCTTGTTTTATATTGTTAATCTTAGCCTACATAGTATTAAAATATTTTTGTGAAAAAACTTTTATCAAAAACGACTAATTCCAAAAAGAAATTTTAATTTTCGTTTTCTAATATCTATCTGTGAATAAAGAGAAAATGATTGCAAACTACATTCTTAACAAACTCCTTTTGCAACGCGTTATAGAAATATTAAACACAATTTATCTTGCAATTACTTACGGTACACATTCCTTCCACGTACTTTGTAAAAGTACAAATGTGGGTTTTCTTGATAAATTCGTACAAAAACAATTCTCTGCATCTCTCACGAGAAATTTCTTTAACTATAATCTCTTGCAAATGATTAAAGGCCGAATAAGATATAAGCCTGGTAGATTTCTGAAAAGAGATTTATATATAATATATGTATACAGCATAGATTAAGCTGTCCTTAAATTATTCATAAATTTTTGTTAAAAGAACTCTGAATCTTGTTATAATCTTACGACTAAATTTGTCAAACCTTATATTTTTTAGATTTTATATATGATACGACATGATAATCTTTTACATTTACCTCGTGTTGTCCCCAACCAGTAATTACGAGAGGATAATTGTCGTAATCACGGTCGACGGTTGCTAGGGCAATAGGTTGGATATTTGAATCGTTGAACTTGATATCTTCTGATAATTGAATTAAACCAATATCATGAAGAATTATTTTTTCATTGTAACCAGCGTGCACTATGATATCTACCGCACGAATCGTTACAGAAGATTCATTGAGGTAGTTGCTTCCCATGCCGACGTAAACATTATACGGATTATCGATGTGGCTGATAATCAATACAGATAATATTCATTTTGCAAGTATTTTACTTGAAAAACGTTATATAATAAATAATATAAATGTCTAAAATTAAAAGAATTGTACCTAATTATATTAAACGAGTTGGCTGCAACTTTAAATTGTATACCGAAAATGATGTTCTACGTTTTCTTAAATTTTGCTTTTTATTTTTTAAATTAAATAAATAATTTTTTTTATTTGCTTTATAAAATAAGCTAAATAATAATAATAATAATTTTCTCCTTTTTCAGATTACTTGAACCAAAACTAAACAGTTATTAAAAATTTGAAAAAATATACATACTTGACAATACATCCTGCAGTAGTGATGATATAACGATTATTTATGATAGCCCCACTACAAAAATGTGCGCCATATTTATCTCTCAATGATACTTGATAAGGGTATAAGCCATCCGGAGCGTCAACGCCGTTGAGGAATAACGCACTTGGCAAACCTATCGATTGAAAATATAAAATACTTTAATTTTATTTTTACATAGCAGTGCGTTGCCAAATTTTCACACTTGATTATAAAATAAACCGTTCATTTTGAAATCGGTATCCTGTTCGAAAGTATAATAAACATTAAATGAATTTAAAGACATAAGTATGTTCACTTCAGCAAATAACATCTCACACTTCCATCAGCTTGAAAATAATACGTAAGATATTAAATAAATAATTTATCAGATCACCGTAATATTAATATGTATTATAAAAATGGAAGTTAAAAAAAAATCAAAAGAATATTTGATACATTCAAAATAATACATTTTTAAATTCACTGGAAACATGTTATATGCGCAATAAAAATATATATTACGTACTACGTAATTGAGTATACAATAAACAATATTTGCTTGACTACTATGTAATGTATCAAACTTTTAGTTGTTTTTTTCATTAATAAGATGTTTTATATAAAAAAGGTATATATTTTATATATAAATATACACTTACTTTGAGCGCTGAGCGCTATATACGCGATTATAAAACCAGTGACAGCATTCATAGCGATAAGTATTGTGGCACATAGCACATGCTATCTTTGATTTATATAAGTATCCTCATTGATTAGCAGTGTTTATCTGAACAAATGAGTGAGATATTGTGTGAACATACTAATTGTGTATCAAATTGTATTAATACTAGAACAATACAAGCGCGCGCTACGCGCGCGCACTTATTATTATAATTTAATAATTATAAAATCTAAATATTTAAAAAAACTTTTAAATTTTAAATAACCGCCAAAATAACTTTTGCTCTCAAACTATCAAACTGCCAGAATAATCAAGATAACAATCAGCGTCGCAAAAAAGCGTCAACAATACTTTCGATACATTCGAGTATCGATTTTTCATGCCTTTTTTAAGAGTGGATTCAAGTAAATGATTTTTTTGATTGCAAGTAAATATTCACTTGAATCAAGTAAATATTTTTTTATTCAAGTAAATGAATTTTTTATTGAAATAAAATATTTATTAGAATCAAGTAAATATTTATTAGAATCAAGTAAATATTTACTAGAATCAAGTAAATATTTATTAGAATCAAGTAAATATTTATTAAATCGAGTAAATATTTATTAGAATCAAGTAAATGATTTTTTTTATTTAAGTAAATATATATTATAGAATCAAGTAAATATTTATTAGAATCAAGAAAATGATTTTTTTTATTTAAGTAAATATTTATTAGAAATTACCAAATATTTGGTAATGAGGACGGAGTGATTTGGTAATTATTACCAAATATTTGATAATGAGGACGGAGTGATTTGGTAATTATTACCAAATATTTGGTAATGAGGACGGAGTGATTTGGTAATTATTACCAAATATTTGGTAATAAGGACGGAGTGATTTGGTAATTATTACCAAATATTTGGTAATGAGGACGATGCGATTTGGTAATTATTACCAAATATTTGGTAATGAGGACGATGCGATTTGGTAATTATTACCAAATATTTGGTAATGAGGACGGAGTGATTTGGTAATTATTACCAAATATTTGGTAATGAGGACGATGCGATTTGGTAATTATTACCAAATATTTGGTAATGAGGACGATGCGATTTGGTAATTATTACCAAATATTTGGTAATGAGGACGATGCGATTTAGTAATTATTACCAAATATTTGGTAATTAGGACAAAGTGATTTAGTAATTATAAAATTATGGTTGGATCTACCACAATGGATTATGGTCGATCCAACTATAAAATTATGGTTGGATCTACCACAATAGAGATTATGTTATTATAAATCATTTTGTCCTAATTACCAAATATTTGGTAATGGGAACTAAATAATTTCGTATTAATTACCAAATATTTGGTAATGGGAACTAAATCATTTCGTCCTAAGTACCAAATATTTGGTAATGGGAACTAAATAATTTCGTATTAATTACCAAATATTTGGTAATGGGAACTAAATCATTTCGTCCTCATTACCAAATATTTGGTAATGGGAACTAAAAAATTTCGTTTTAATTACCAAATATTTGGTAATGGGAACTAAAAAATTTCGTCCTCATTACCAAATATTTGGTAATGGGAACTAAATCATTTCGTCTTAATTATCAAATATTTGGTAATGGGAACTAAATCATTTCGTCCTGATTACCAAATATTTGGTAATGGGAACTATAAAATTATGGTTGGATCTACCACATTGGATTATGGTCGATCCAACTATAAAATTATGGTTGGATCTACCACAATGGATTATGGTCGATCCAACTATAAAATTATGGTTGGATCTACCACAATGGATTATGGTCGATCCAACTATAAAATTATGGTTGGAGTCTACCACAAAAATATATATATCTAAATAATTTTGCAAAAAAATTTATAATTAACGTCCTAATTTTTTACATATTTTAAACTTTTTTTATTTGAATACAACTTGACAGCTTGAGGAAATGTAAACAGTTGTCATAGAAACATTTATAAATTGCTAATCAATATTGCCTTGACCACCATTTAAATATAAACTGTCAAAATATATTTTTTGCACATGATCAATATTGCCTTAACAACCATTTAAATATAAACTGTCAAAATATATTTTTCGCATATGACATTGAGATAACCAATCAGCGTCGCGATAAAACTGCAACAATACACTTCGATACTTTCGAGATTTCGATACATTCGACTATCGACTTCTCATGCCTTTTTTAAGAGTGGATATTGCTATTTTTTAAATTAGCTACAATAATAACAAACACCTGTTTGATATATTTATATAAATTTTGTTAAAGTTTAAAATAGTATAAAGTTATATTGTAATTATAATTTATTAGAGACTATGATTCATAAATTTCTATACATATTTTGATATTAATTTGTGTAAAATTTTGATTGTTATAACTATATTTGTTATAATTATAATATTTTTTGAGATATAAAAAAATCATAGTTATAGATTTTCTATCATTCTTAAAACAACAAACAACTTTATATAAAGTAATATAATGCTTTAAATTTGGATTATTATTAGGCTTACTTAATCAGTTCTTCGATAATCAGCTAAGAATTGAATTATTTGTGAACTCTTGAATATATATATGAGAATTATTTATTCAGGATGCAGTTAAACAAACTATACGTGTAGTGCTTTAGCAAATTAAGTATATTTGAATCAAACTTATTAAATACTTTTACATACTTGCACGCGGCTTACTTTCTCTATATCCAACAACATAACCAGAGAGAGAGAGAAAAAAAAGCGATCTAGAGTCATAGAAAACATAAAACATAGTAATGGAATGACATTATTCTTAACATGAACAATTACGAAAATTGCCGATGCACAATGTTATCTTTATCACTCAAAATAAATAAGCGAGAAAATAAATGAAGAATATACGGACAATATTTCATAGCAAATATAAATAATCATTACATGTTATACATTCAGTTATTGATTTATTTCACAGAAATAAGCGGCTATATTATTTTTTATATAATAGATATTTTTTTTATTTTATCATCAGAAATAATATTATGTTTGGATTATCGTGTAAAAACAATATATGAAAGATTTTAGGAATTTTTGCAACATTAAGACAACACACATCATATGAATGTACACTAAATTATTTTATTTCATTGTTGATGTCGGAAACATGCTCGTTCAGCCAACTGTTGAAAGAGTATACCCTTGTGTATACGTCAGGATATCCCTCAGCGCATGGTCGAACAAATGAGGCGAGACCGATTTGAATACCATTGGCAACAAGGGGACTACCAGAATCACCCTACAAAAAATATGTTAGAAACGACAGCACAGACTTATAATTAACTATTTTTAATCTGTATCAAAAAATGTAGGAAATTTGATAGAAAACTCCCAAGAGTAAAAATATAACAAGCAGAGTGAGGTAGTATTGAATAATTATTGAATAAAAATTTAGAATCTTACAAAACTATATTAATAAAGTTATCAAGAACTGCGCAAGTGTCTCGTAAATTGAATTAATTATTAATTCACGTATGATTAATTATTAATACTTACATGGCATGCTCCTTGCCCACGTTCTGAAAATGCACAAATGTGGCCAGATTGTACATTCCAGAATGCTAATTTGCATTTCCTTTGCGAATAAACTTTTAAGTTGAGTTTTTGAAGTTCATTAGGCACTTTGCCTAAAAACTGAAGAAAATATATATTATATATAGAAGTAGAAATTACACATGACATAAAATCAAAAAATATAAATGTGTGGTTTGATAAAATATCATATTGCAAATATTGTATATTATTGCGATGTGTGTATTTCTCCGAAAATACAAAACTTTTCTTGTGTTAGAGTGACATAAATATTTTTTAAAAAGATTTATTTTAGCACGTGGCTTTAAATCGCACAATTAGTTGTACATTAATTTGATTTTTGCTTAAAATAATATTTTGTGCACGTATAAAAAATATAAAAATAATATTTTTTTAAATATAAAAACAAATTTTTATGTATTATGAGCAAAGATAATATTTTATTCGTCACTTCTTACCTCCAGTGTTCCCCATCCAGTCAGGATACAAGGATCGCCAGTTAGAATAGAATTAGTGGATGCAACAGAAATCGGCTGTACCACATCATTGTACACTATATCCGTTTTCAAATGGAGTAAGCCAATATCGTTGTGAATTAACAATAGACTAAACTTAGGATGCATAATGGCATTGTCAACATTGTAAACATAACCAGTTTCATTTAAAAAGTTCGTGCCAGCATGAACTGTTACGTCTTTGAGATCATCGGGATCAGTAAAGCTGTAGAAATTAATTATAAACTATAATTATTCGAATGTTTCAATTTAATAACCTAATAACAATTATTGATAAGTGAAAAATGTAAGACACAAAGTCAGACACAAGAAACGGTACGTTCAGATGCTTAAAGATTTACGGAAAATTATAAGATTGAAACATTTATAGAAATTTGAATAACCAAATATTGAAAGACTCAAGTAGCAAAGAATTCTAAAATCTCATTTTACGATTTGCACAAGACGAGAACATAATACGTACCTCATAAGGCAATGAGCTGCGGTAAGAACATAGCGTTTAGCGATGATAGATCCGCCGCAGAAATGGCTATTCTGATTTCTCAAAGACACCATATAAGGATATCCGCCGATTTCAGCGTCAGTTCCACCGACGATGAAACCGTTTGGCCTAGCTTCAAGTCAAAAACAAAGAAAAGCGTATATTGCATATTATAATGTCTAAACTGTTGATTTTTCAATATGCAATAATGCAAATGCACGATTGATAATAAGATGGATAACAGGGTTTTTCATGCTAAATAAATATATGTGCAAAATAATACACAATAATACTTTACACAATACTCACATAATAATTGCATTATTATATAAATTTTATTATAAATATGTTTTTACTTACCATGGCCGATTGTTATTAAGCAAGTACTCAATAGACTGAATAACAGATACATTGTGAAAGGATAGCTACTTTATGTGCAAAGAGAAAAGTACTTGATAGATAGCTATATATACCTGACTGGATGATGAATGTGAGAATATATGTATGGAACTATTAAAATGTGAGAAGAAGATTTTAAGATTCGGATAAATTTGATAAGATATCTGATACAAATTTTGATAAACCATAAATGTCATATACCATTTATAGCGATATATTCAGAAGTTTGATACATAAAATGTAAAATATATAAACATAAACATTTTTTAAGCTTATTAAAATTTACAATATAATGAACATTTCATGTCTATCCTTACTTCGATTCTTTCTTGTTCTTTTTCCATTTATATTTTAAAAGCTTTTCTCTTGTCAAGTTTGCTTCAGACATATATAACAATACGTAATAATATCACTTATCGCTAAATTTATGAATTTTGTATATTACGATAATATATCGATGATCTGTTGTTGAATAAAAATTATGATTATTATATAGATAAAAATAATGATTTACGAATAAAGCTATTCTTAACCTGCATTAATATCTTTAAAAAACAAAGATATTTTATCTGAAGAATTATTTGCACCGACAATTTATTTAAATAATAAAAAGACGCAATATAATTTTAAAAAATAACTTGCGCAAATCGTATTTTATCAAAATCAGAAATTACATAAAATAAAATAAAATTTTAATAAATGAATAAAATAATCTGCTATTTTTCCAAATTTGCGTTGATCCATGACAGAAAATTGGCCACTCTCGTGTATACATCTGGATATCCAATTCCGCAGAGTCGACCCCAATTCAAAGTAACAATTCCAACTTGAGTTTTGTTGTATACTAAAGGTGCACCATAATCAAACTAATATAACAAAAAAATTAATGTTAATAAACATTATGACAATGATAAATTGCTTGTATATATTAAATGTAAAACATTATTATAATAATTTCATGATTGAGATAAAGATTTAATTGATATGCGGCTTCTGATACTGTAAGTTTTAATACTTTTAATGTTGTCAATTATAATATTCTAATAATATAATATTTCATACACTCAAAAAAATGATCTTGCAATAATAGTTAAAATTTTCTAGGTGTAAAAAATTAACTAAAACAGATAAATGATTAGCAACTGTTGTGATATTGCATATGTAATTACTTAATCAGTTTAGATGACAGAAACAGAATATATATCTGTATTGTTTGTGAACTTTAAAAAGAAAGTTTCTCTAAAGCGCCTATCTATATAAGATCAATCACGTGTTAGATCATGCAATGAATAACATTTAGCAATGGTACCTAAATTTTTCAGAAGCTATTGCTGGAACATTACTGCTATAAATTCTATATGTGACAAACAATGTTTTCACAGATACGAAAAATAGCGATACATTCTTGTTGCGATATCTAGAAATCTAACTACATTAGTGAAATATTTTTTTGAGTGTAATATTTTAATTATATTATAATTTAATTTAATTACAATAAAAATGTATTTTTTAAATTTAAATACTAATATTAACAATGTTATTTACATACATAACACGTTCCTTCTCCTCGCTTGGTTAAAGTGCAAATATGGTTTTCCGTTAATTCTGAATACGTAGCCTTGCACTTAGTTTGGGAATAAATTGTTAAGTTGATTTCTTGTAAGTTGTTTGATGTGCCGCCACCCAGCTAAAAAAAATAATAGTATTATTATTTGTCAAGAATTTTTAAGAATATTTGTCAAGAATTTCTTAAGATAAATTTTTACTTACAATTTGTTATATGCAAAAAGAATTTTCTTATTCGCATAGCAAATTTTGTAAACATTTTTTAAGCTTGACTTACTTTAATACTTCCCCATCCTGACAATGTGCAAGTCTTGTTTTCAAGAACTGTGTCATTTATCTGTGTCGCAAGTTTTATTGGCTGTACTTTTGTGGTATATCGAATAGGAGTTTTAATATGTAGTAGGGCGATGTCATTAACAAGTCGAATATTATTGTAATCTTCATTGATAGTAACATTTGCTATTTCGTAAACATCTCCTGTTTCATTTTGAAAGTTTGTGCCGACATGAACCTTTAATGATGGTAATACACCTATTTTACTAGTAACAGGATAAAATATATAAGTTTGTGATGAATTACATAACATTATTTATATTTATAATTTTTTATCAGAAAAAACATTTTAAGATATTAGAAAAAGTGAAAATCTTATTTTTGTAGTTTTAATTTTATTACATCATAACATATAACCATTTAATACAAAGCTTTTTATATCGCATCTATGACATGCTAAAGAATTAGTTAAAAATTAAATTTCATTAATAATTCACTGAAATGATTTAAATAATGTTTAACATACTCATTGATACAATGGGCTGAAGTTAATATGTTACGATTATCAATGATAGATCCACTGCATACGTATGTGTTGTAAATTCTCAGCGATACTTGATACGGATATTTACCGGTGGGTGCATCTTTGCCGCCAACAATTTGTGGAGACAAAGCTCCTTATTGGCAGAAACACAAATTAATTATATTAATGTTAATATGATCATTGTAACATTGTACACATATATACTTTTAATAATTTACATTATTTATATTCGAATAATATTATTAATATTTATATTTATAAAGTCAGAGAATTTTTGCTAAATATTGTATAAAAGAAAGCATATTATAACTTTAGCATATTATAACTTTGATATTATCAACTTTATATATATATATGTATTAAAAACAGTTTGTTTTATCAAAAAGACGTATATTATGAATTCTTTTTCTCTCGCTCTTTCATCAGAAAATATTTATAATGATTTGTGAATTTATACCTTCCGTAGCGTATGCCAAAACTATGAATACAAGATAAGCGAGTGCGCTCATAATTGAATATGGATTTGTTGATACTGACTGAAACGATCATTCTTATAAGTTTATATACGCTTTGAGATACTTGTGCGCGCGCGCGCGCGCGTGTGTGTGTGTGTGTGTGTGTGTGTGTGTGTGTGCGTGTGTGCAACAAAGATATATACAAATCACGTGTTTGTCACATTTTTAAACTTTTCTCAAGACAACTATCATATCTGATAATCTGATAAAATGCAATCACTACTACTATTTTAGAGTTAATATAGATTATTGAAACAATGTGATAAATTTAACCTCCATATTTTTTACAAATTTTTCTTTTTAAAAAGATTACATATTATGTTCATTTATCTTTGAGATTAAACTTGAATTTTTTACGCTACTGCTAATGCCAGTGGTAAACGCTGTTTATCATGAAATGTGATGTTGGTTTTAAAGTCAAGTAACTCGGCCTAAAGAAATTGTAGAAAAATTTAAAAAAACGTTATTGTAAGTAAAATGTTGTAATTTTCAACATTTTTCATAAATTTTGCAAGAAAATTTTTTTATTAACTACAAAACAATGTATTCATTCTTTGAACTCAGAAGTGTAAAGATAAAAAATTTTCAAAAATGGCCTAAAACGCATAAAAATATAAGTTGTAACCATTGTTTTTTTAATTTTTTGTCTATGATGACTTTTTGCGGAGTTACAGTGGTTTGTCAATCTTGTTTGCCCACCCAAAGTTTTATCATTATCTTTGTCATCAATAAACTGCAATTTAGCTTTCGAAGCAGAAGTTCCAAAGAGTTTATCGATAGCAAAGAATTAAAAAAAAAAACATAAGAAGTAATAATAGTATATTGTGTATCAAGTGCGGGAAGTTGGCAATTGCCCACGAGTGGGTAGGGAGGGGAGAATGGTACGCACGAGCCGAAGGCGAGTGCGACCATTCCCTCCCTACCCACGAGTTGGCAATTGCCATCCCGCACTTGATACATATGCTATTTTGTAGTACACGTGCGTCGAAAGTAGCCTATTGTAGTATAAGTGCGGGGTAAGTGTAATGATAAGACGCTTTTTACCTTACCAGTTTCTTACATGTGTCACTGCGTGTTGGGCGCAATTGAGATTAGACTTTGGGACAGGGAAGAAGTAATGGCTATTTATTTTCTATCGCGCTGCAAGATGGCGTTGCTTTGTAATGAAATAATAAGTGAAGCGTGCGGTAATAAAGCGGAAGCGTGCGGTAATAAACCGGAAGCGTGCGGTAATAAGTTTGAAGCGTGCGGTAATATGTTGCGTGTGAAATTGGCTACTTTCCGCACGTAAAGCATGCGCGTAATAGGCTACTTTCGACGCACGTGTACTACAAAATTTGTTTCCACATGTCATCAAAATTCGACATTGACAAATTATTTTTTTCTGCTTCTGTAAAACTTTGATGTCATCATATATCTTGATATATATCATTTTGATATCCAGTACCGTCGCGGAGCTTTGAATAAAGTTGCCGACGCGCTCTCTCGCGAACCCGAGGCCTGCGCCGTTCAGCCAGCCGCCTGCACCTGGTACCGCGGGCTAGTAAAAAAGATTAGGAAAGAGCCGAAAAGTTACCCCGACTACGCCATACGCGGGGGTAACTCTACCGGCATAT